GGCGCCATGGGGTCGCTGTTCCGGAGCGAGAGCATGTGTCTGGCGCAGCTCTTCCTGCAGGCGGGCACGGCCTACGAGTGCCTCAGCGCGCTGGGCGAGAGGGGCCTGGTCCAGTTCCGAGACGTGAGTGCCCGCTGCCCGGACGGGGCCGCCGAGCGGGGCCGCCGGCAGGGCGCGCGCCCGGGTGTCGTCACCGGCCCGCGACGAGCCGCACGGGGCGCCAGCCCGGCACTGGCCCGCGGAGGCCGCGTGGGCTGCTCCTGGTCCGAGCGACCACTCCCGGGCAGATCCGAGCGACACGGGGCCGTGTGATGGGGGCTCGGACACAGGGGGAGGAGGGGGTGTCCTCTGAATCGGACACTGGGGGAGGGGGTGTCCTGCGAAGGGCAATCCCGGAGGGCTTCCTGGAGGAGGTGATGTCGGCGCTCAGACAGCCGGGCAGGAACTGGCCATGGACAGGTCTTCCAGGTGGAGACAGCAGGCTCCCGAATGGGGACTGAGCTTGGTGTAAACCCTTCCGGGGAAGGACTTTGCCTGGGTCTTGCTGACCCAGTGGTGTGATGGGTTACTGACCCGTGTTTGGTAGGGAGGAAGGGGTGGTAGGTGGGCTGCTAAGCGGAAAAGTCAGCGGTTCAGATCACATAGACTCAGATCACGAAGAGAAAGAGGGAATCGACTGATACCCTAAAGATTCAGAGCCTAGAAACTCTCAGCTGGGCTCTGTCCTCCAGGGTCCCTGGGAGACACTGGACAGCAGGGCCTGTGGGTTTTGGGGGTGAGGGGTAGGGGTCGCAGCCAGCATTTGCTGAGTGGGAGCAGCCTCCCTAGGAACAATGATACTGTTTATGGATCTGTGGACTCCTCACTGCTTTATCTGTCTGTATGGGGACCACAGAGCCCCCAGGCCCTCGCCTGCCTCTTTTTCTTCTGGGTCTCAGTACTCAGCACAAACCCCTCAATAGGCATTTGTTGGAAGAGTGAACAAGCTTTTATTCAGTGTCTGCTGTCTGCCAGGCACCGTTGTGCGAGGCTGGCCTGAGCAAGTGCACAGGGCTCCCGTGCTCCCCTGCACTCTCAGGCTGGGAGGGGACAGACATTGGACTTGATCATGAACTGTGATAAGTGCTGTGGAGGAAAGGGCCGCAATGTGGAAAGGACAATTAAACAGAACCTAATCTGTTGGGTTTTTAAATACTACTTGGTGTTGGATTACACGGGTTCTCATTCAACAGTTTCTGCACACACTGTTCACAGACTTTGGTTCCTTTTTTTTTTTTAACAGTGTGTCCAAATTCTCATTGTTTCTGTACTATTTCTGTTACTCTGTTTCTATTCACCTAGTTTCCCAGTTCCCATACAGTCTCATCTTTATTTGGAGTCATTGTTCAGATACATGTAGATGATTTTAAAAAAGAGAATCTCTCTCTCATTTGAGTCTAGTTGTTACTTAGTTCAAAATGTCCACAAGAGGGGAGACAGAGACAGACAG